CGTACCTGCGTTTCTGGTTCCGCAATCCTCGAAGAGACGAGGGTAATGGCCCGCAAGATGGAGAGCCTCTGCATACCACAGCCAGTGATGAGACCAGCAGTACCAGCGATGAGTCCGAGGGCGGTGCACCAATCGACGACCCAATGGAGGTTGACATGAGCTCGGTTTCCGGCACCCACAGATTCAGGTCGCCAAACCACCGCAGCCCGACTCGCCGGAGGCCTCCTCCATATGTAGAGCTAGAAGCCGTTGTTTCGTGTACATCCGATGGTTTGGTCGTCATCCTGAGAAAGGCTCGACCCGCACTACCTTCTTTCCAACCAGCAGAGGCGCCTGTTCAACACAACAACGGTCTCTTCGCCGCACCTTGGGCAACGCAACCTGTCTATCCACAATACCCATCTTATGGACATGACAATTTCCAGTCGCCAATGGCTACCGACCACATGCCACCTCAAGCTCATGCCACGCCAGCTGGCGGGCCTTTAATGGACTCGCTTATGCAGTCCATCAGAGACGTCGCCGTCTTCGCATGGGGTGTAGTCGGCATCAACAAGAACTTGACCGAATTCAGTCACGGTGTTCCGAGTGGAGAGGCTCAACCTCATGGGTTCCCGTCCTCGAGCAGCAGCAGCAGCGGGAACCAGAACAATAACAATGGCAACGGCTACTGGTCTTCAGAATCGTGTGATGATACAGTGTTCACGGCTGATCATGGGCATTCGACCACATCGAACATGACCTCTCAATTTCCGTCGAACAATGGCTCACAGGCGGTGTCACCCTATGTGTCTGACGACAGCATCGCAAAGTACGGTGTGGCCAAGGTGCCACATAGTCAACCCTCAAGCGCCTGGTCTTATGCATCTTCTTCGACCTTGGCACCGTATGGTGTAAACGAGAACCATGCAGTTTCCGCGTCGTGGGGCAATGCAAACGGAGGACACTACACGCCTGATCACGGGGAATTGCCTAGTTCAATGAATCGACAAGCGCCTTCGGATGGCAATGGGTCGACGCAGCCGCCCTCACATGACCAGCTGTCCAGCCAACCGCAGACGTTGGCCGAGGATTATCCCAGCTATCCTGCCAAGTAGTTGTACTGTCTCGACTGGGTGGAGGCGGCTGCGGGCCTGTTGGCGGAATCCATGTGTCCATATTGACGATCTTGACCACCAGAGTCGAGTCGAATTGATACAACCTTGGCCGTCTGAGCCACCCAGCCCAATCGCTTCTTCAGCTCTACTATTTACGAATCACGATGATTATTTGCCAAATTAGCAATACTTGCACAATTTTCAATGCTTATTTTAAGGGTATATTGAATTTGCCTGGATTTCAGGTTAAAAATCAATAGCATTTAGTGCCTTTTCAATTCTCTAGTTTTCAATGGCCATAAATTTTACATTGGTGGTCGGGGCTGTCTCGCACAACGAATTATAAAAGCGTATAATGAATATGACGCGAATAGAGAATCTACGTAATGTTTTCTCTAGCGCTTTTTCGGGTATTTTCTGCTTATTTCCGTCGCTGCAGCGGTACTCACATCATATGTTTAAATAATTAGAAGAACAAGGGGGGAAATCCACATGAACTATAATTAAGCCTTTTTTTTTTTTTTTTTTTAACCTTCTGAATCTGTTCGTTTGTTTACTTCCAATTTGTCAAGTGAACTCCCACTTTGGTGGAGTCCTCGACAAGCCATCAAAAACATAGTCTCCTGACGGCCGTTGGCATCACTGTTTTAATTGGTAATATTATCACTCGGCACTTCGTGCCTCGTGTAGTGCCCATATTCGTGCTGGGTTGTGACTAGCAAGCCCACAGGGATCCACGTCTTCCGGCGACCACCAACTTACCTTGTGGGCAATTGTTGAATTGATTAACGGCGCTCGGAGTACACGCAGTAGGATGGTGATGATCGGCTTGCTTGAACAAAGCACCATCTAGATTCGGATCCGACTCAAAGTTAGAAGACAAAAAGGTTCGGAGCGTTGAACCCTAAAGTCCAGATCTTGGCAGTCCGAACTTGTCGAGCTTGTGTCGAAAACCCCTGGCGCCAATCCATGACAGCGTGGGTCCACTATGCCACGTCTTGAACCCTGCCAATGGTGGAGACGGTCGCTCATCCATTTGTGCGTCGATGACGCAAAGCTGAATGAACCAGACACACCTCTTTCCAGCGTGTCGCAAGGAGCCGAGCTGCCAGATTCTAAGGCCTTAGCGCCCACTGCCTGCCAATTGCTTCCGCACACTCCAGACATTCTAGACTCATCCGTCTTCTAAGCTCTTGACCATTGCAGTGAGGCTGGTCTTTTCTGCGAAATGAGCGTTTCTTGAGCGTGCCCTCTTTTCACATCGCGGCCGTTCCACACCATGGCGCCCAGTCGATCGCTGCAGAGGTCCTTGGCGACCGAGGCAACCCTTCTCAGGACCTCACGATGCAGCCGCCCCCCGACCTCACCCTTCCTTGCTCGCGCCAAGGCCGCCAGCCAGTCGCGGCTGTATAGTAATGCGTCCCGGCCATCAACGACAACGTCCCTGTCCCAACGCCCCCAGACTCGAGTGCGATGGCGGCCGTCCGTGGGTTCAGCCGCTATACGTCACCTATCCGGCAAACCTCTGCCGCAACGACGATCGGTAGTCCTCAACTTCGCATATCGCTCTGCTGCCATCGTTGGCACCGGTGTTGGCTTTGTGGGCTTACTGGTTACGGCCTTCTTCGTCTACGACGCAACCACCTACAAGGAGGCCGAGGTCATCGCTGACTGTGCGGTCTCAAAGGCTGCCCTTGAGCCGCCGCGTGGTGGCCCAAAGAACCTGCCCATCGTCAAGGCCCTACTGGACGACGAAGACACTGATGAGCACAAGCTCCGTAAGGACAAGCCGCACCTCGTCATCCTCGGTGGAGGCTGGGGCGGCGTCGCCCTGCTCAAGCAGCTCAACCCCGATGACTACCATGTGACCGTCATCAGCCCCAAGAACTACTTCCTCTTCACGCCTATGCTCCCCTCGGCGACAGTCGGCACGCTCGAGATGCGCAGCCTGGTCGAGCCCATAAGGCGGATCTTGCACGGCGTCGGCGGCCACTACCTTCGCGCCTCCGCCGAGGATGTCGAGTTCTCCCACAAGCTCGTGGAGGTCTCCCAGACTGATTCGTTCGGCAAGGAGATCCGGTTCTACGTCCCCTACGACAAGCTTGTCATTGCTGTAGGCTCCGTGACGAACCCGCATGGGGTCAAGGGTCTGGAGAACTGCCACTTCCTCAAGGACATTGACGACGCCCGCAAGATTCGCAACCAGATTATGAAGAATCTCGAACTCGCCAACCTCCCGACGACTTCTGACACGGAGCGTAAGCGCTTGCTTTCCTTTGTGGTCAGCGGAGGCGGTCCGACAGGCGTCGAGTTTGCCGCCGAGGTATTTGACTTGCTCAACGAGGACCTGACCCTGAGGTTCCCTCGCATCCTCCGCAACGAGATCTCGGTCCATCTGATCCAGAGTCGCGGCCACATCTTGAACACCTACGACGAGGCTGTCTCCAAATATGCCGAGGAGCGGTTCGCACGCGACCAAGTCGAGGTCCTCACAAACTCCCGCGTCAAAGAGGTCCACCCGGACAAGATCATATTCACCCAGAAGTCGGAAGACGGAAAGCTCATCGACAAGGAGCTCCCGATGGGCTTCTGCCTGTGGTCGACTGGCGTCTCGCAGGCGGAGATCTGCCAGAAGATTGCCGAGAAGCTCGGCTCGGTGCAGAACAACAGGCACGCACTCGAGACGGATACGCATCTGCGACTGAACGGCACTCCCCTCGGCGATGTGTACGCCATTGGCGACTGCTCCACGGTTCAGAACAACGTGGCGGAGCACATCATGTCGTTCCTGCGCGGCGCGGCGTTCAAGCACGGCAAGGACCCCGAGACGCTCGAGCTCCACTTCTCCGACTGGCGGAACGTCGCCGCCGACGTAAGGAAGCGGTTCCCGCAGTCAGTCGCGCACCTTAAGCGCCTCGATAAGCTGTTCCAGCAGTACGATAAGAACCAGTCGGGCACGCTCGACTTTGGCGAGCTCCGGGAGCTCCTGATCCAGATCGACAGCAAGCTCACGTCGCTCCCGGCGACGGCCCAACGCGCGAACCAGCAGGGCCAGTACCTGGCCAAAAAGTTCAACGCCCTGGCCCACGCGGCCGAGGGTATGGGCGCCAACGATATGCGTGACGGCGACCTCGACGCGGCCGTGTACAAGGCTTTCGAGTACCACCACCTCGGCAGCCTCGCGTACGTTGGCAACTCGGCCGTATTTGACCTGGGCGGCGGCTGGAACGTCATGGGCGGGCTCTGGGCCGTGTACGCCTGGAGGGGCGCGTACTTTGCCCAAAGCGTAGGCATGCGCACGAGAGTCCTGATGGCCATGGACTGGACCAAGAGGGGACTCTTTGGACGAGGTATGTCTTTCTTCCCTCCGAACAACCCTCCCTTCGCCTTTGCAAAGGCTGTGCGCATGATTTATGCTAACTATTTTGTTTGCTCTAGATCTCATGAGCTTCTGATCTTTCTGATCTGTCGTTACGTGTAGCCATAAATGTATAGAACAGAAGGAGGCAAAGTTGTCTGCCGGGCAGACGATGGATTGGGATATACTACAGCCAATGGTACAACAGCAAAAAGAAAATTCCTACCAAGTCAGATTTAGCAGCATCGGTGAGATGAGGCAGCTCTGAATGAATTCCTTAGCTACAACACCATATAGTTACTCAACAAATTATTAAACTCATAATCACGCGCGTCCTTGTCCAAGCCTCCAAGGCGGTCGGTCACAGGAGCACCGAGAACAAAACCGAAGTGTCACTGCCCATCCCTGCCTCCCATATCATCAGCATAAAACATGATAACATACAAAGTCAAAATAAAAGGAAGGACCAAGCCTTTCCGTACGCCCGCCATGAACGGCGACGGGCTGCCAGCTCTCGCAAAACAGCAAAAAGAATGCGATGATCGAGGTCGTGCCCGGGCTCGAACCGGGGTCTCAGGAAAATTATCAGATTTTGTTTGTCAAAATCCCACGTGCTAACCGCTACACTACACAACCAGTTACTGGTGATTGGAAAGCATGGGTCTTAGTACAATACTTATCCACAGTCGCTCGCCCGAGCTTCCCGAGAGAAGCCTGTGCCTTCTCATTCCAGCCCCTGCGGTCGGAGGAAGTTGGGTGGTCGCCACCTCCGCATCGGAGGGGAAGAGGGGGAAGTGTGGGGTTTGAAGGCGCTCGCTGGTGTCATCGCGCGCGTCACTGGCGACATCACGCCCAGAGAGAGAACGCTCTGAGCGTTATTTGTATGGAAGAAATAATTGAAAATATGATGGTAAAACATGTGTTAGATGTGACTGCCACGAGAGTCTTATGAATTCAGGTTGATTAGAGATCCTCAGACTGCGTTAGCCAGGCCAATTGGTCATGTTGCGTGATGCTCTCGACTTTGCGGCTCGCGCGTTCTCTTCCTCGGGTAGCCGATGTTGACCGCGGGGGAACTCGGTTTAGTCATTATCTGGGTTTTTGTTCCTTTCTCTTTATCCACTTCCTTCATGCCCTGAACTTTGGGTTGCCAAACTTCTCCTGGCTTCATATCTGGTCACAACTGAGTTATATACCCATCCTGGTTTCTGCCCGATTCTGTCCCCATGCTGCCTTGCAAGAACATACTGCGTACCGGTATCCCTCATCAACCCCCTGCTATCCGACAGCCGCTCTCACGTTCTCTCGTTGTCTCCAGCAGCAACAGGACGCTCACGACTCGTGTTCAACCACCCACAACCACCTTACACAACCGCCCTGTCAAGAGCAGCAGCAAGCGCCTCGCCATCTCTCATCACCACCACCACCACCACCACCACCTCCACCGCAGCAGCAGCACAATGGCCGCCACGGCAATGGGCAAGCGCCTCGAGGGCAAGACGGTCGTCGTGACGGGCGCGTCGTCGGGCATCGGCCGCAGCACGGCTTTCGAGTTTGCCCGCACGAGCCCCGGCAACCTGAAGCTCGTGCTCACGGCGCGCCGCAAGGACGTGCTCGACCAGGTCGCAAAGGAGATCAACGCCGAGGTCGGCGACGGCGTCAAGGTGCTCGCCGTGCAGCTCGACGTTTCCAAGCCCGATGAGGTCCGCGGGTTCGTGGCGGGGCTGCCCGAGGAGTTCAGAGAGATTGACGTGCTGGTCAATAATGCGTAAGTGTGTGTGTGTGTATGCATCGTGTAGAGGCCCTCCCGCAGTCCTTGTCATCTTTTCTTTCTTTCGTGTCGCTAGAGTGAACCATCTCTTCTGTCGTGATTCACTGCCTATTATTACACAGCACTGGCTGACTCACACACCCACTCGCCACACAGCGGCCTCGTCAAGGGCGTCGCCCGCGCCCCCGAGATTGCCGAGCAGGACATGCAGATCATGTTCGACACCAACGTGACGGGACTCATCAACATGACCCAGGCCGTGCTGCCTACGTACCTGAAGCGCGCCGACGGCGGGCGGGGCGACATCATCAACGTCGGCAGCATCGCGGGCCGCGAGCCGTACGTCGGCGGGAGCATCTACTGCGCCACAAAGGCCGCCGTGCGCAGCTTCAACGAGTCCCTCCGCAAGGAGCTCGTGCACACCCGCGTGAGGGTCATGGAGGTCGACCCGGGCCAGGTCGAGACGGTGAGTGCTGCCCAATGCTATTTGTCGAGAATGGAAGAGACTGACGTGCTACCCATGTGCAGGAGTTTTCGGTCGTCCGGTTCTATGGCGACAAGGCAAAGGCTGATGCCGTCTATGCGTAAGTTCACCTGGTTCTCCTTGAGCTTTGCTTGACATTCCGCCTTTCGACAATTCAGTATAGTGTGCGACAAGACGCACTGCTAACCATAGTCTGACTGACAGTAACTGCGAACCCTTAACACCCGACGACATTGCTGAGGTCGTTGTCTTTGTGGCTGGAAGGCGCGAGAACGTTGTTGTCGCCGACACAATGATCCTGCCCTCTCACCAGGGCAGTTGTACGGTGGTGCACAAGAAGTCTTCATAGGGAGGAGCCAAAGTCTAGAAAGTAATTGATCATGATGGTATATTTGCAAGATTGTATAAAACTATGTACTGCTCGTCACGTAACAGCCCGGCGAACTATGCACTGTAGTTTTATGATTTGTTTCACATTCTTCAATCGCATATACAGTCACTTGGGAGCATGTAAAGTACTATTATCTTGGTTAGTCAAGGTAACCTCGTGGTGAACAACTAGCGATGAATAGATGTGTGGCTACATATTCAGACTACCGGTTAAAATCATTCACTTGAGTCGGCCAGCTCACCTCAGGTCTCAAGACGACACCTGAGGAAAGCCAGCAAACGGAAGCCAGACATGACATCAGGATTCCCGAGGGATCCAGAGAAAACTCCACAACCGATCATTACTAAGTCCCCAGAAGGGACCCAGCTCCGGTGCGGGAGGGCGGCTCGACTCGCTGTGATCATGGAATGGATATAACTGTTTTCAATCATGATGGCGAAGATGGTGCAAGGGTGACGTAGTGTGAGGACAGGAGACTTACGCTTTCATCAAACCGCAGGAAGCAGCTCATGGGAAGACAGGAGAAGCACGCATGTCGAAGGAGAAAACCTGTAGGCTTGAGACAGTGTTAGTCCAAGGACAATGCAATGCTCAGGTATGGTAGTGATCAAAGGAGGTGTGAGTCATGATATCAGAGGTTGTTTTTGGTAAATTTTGTTATCTTCATCTTATTCAGAAGCAGAACTGAAAATTGATTTTTCATCATCGACTCAGGGCGGGTGTTTTGTGCGTGAGGATGTTGCCTCTTACCATTGTGCCATTTGGCGGCCGCGACAGTGTCGAACTACTGTTTCTAACATACATCTGGGCCTTGTTAGTCTCCTGGTTCTCAGACACAAGCATGGTAGGTTCAGAGAAGAAGGTAAAGGTGATGCTTCAGATGGTAGTGCATGTTGTTCAAGCCGCTCAGGTGATCGCGAGAACTGTGGAAAGTAGTTCATCAATAGCAGGGAAGGGAGGGAGGTGTAGGCGGACAGGGTGTTGACTGGATGTGTGCAGACTCGACTTACCAATTCACGAAGCCACGAACTCCAATCATCAACCAGATGTCCGACACGCAATGGTGGCACCGAGCGGCGTGACAGATCCCGCCTTGCTTAGAATCTCACCCCGAGAGGCCAGCTAGCCTCGCGGAATAGAGAATAGTGCCATGGACTGCCGCGCGCGCTGCGTGCTCGTAGAGACGACGGATATTCGGTTGTGTTTGAAGATCGTGGTGATGTGGCAGGAGGAAGAGAATGGAGAGAGCTGGATGATGGGCTAAAAATTTATTTGGCTTCTGAGCTGTGTCTCTGCGGTTTTCATTGGCTCGTGCGCAGCTCTTTGGCGGGGCATGCGGACTGGCAGCCCACTTTCCATGGCCTGAGCCTCTGTGTGGGCCCGCATGAGCTTGGCTCCAGAAAGTATTTCCAGTGACACTTTTGAGACCCGCGAGGACGACGACTGGCAAGAAACACCCTCCCTCCGCACGTCAACACGCCTGGCATACTGCTTTGTGATATTTGGTCGCTCGCACACCCTCAAAAATATCGCCATGGCAGACAGGAGAAGGATCAATGGCCCCACTGGCACCACCCTGCCACCGGTTTTCGCGGAGGCCCCGTCACAAGCTCCGCGCAAGAATGCAGAAGACGGCTCCCGAAAGATCTGTGAGTAACCTCACACTGATCATTGAGCTACCAAGGAAATATCTCGATATGCTGACAAGCGCTTGACAGTTCTGAGGACAGGTGTCACTCCGTCAGCCTCCGGCTCAGCCTATATGGAACTGGAGAATCCCAATGCCAGTCCCGGCGGGCTTGGTGGGAGCACACGGATGAAGCTTACCTGCACTGTCCACGGCCCACGAGCTCTGCCACGATCCGCGCCTTTCTCCCCACATATGATCCTCACGACACACGTCAAATATGCCCCATTTGCGACAAGACAACGCCGTGGCTACCTCCGAGACTCAAGCGAACGAGATCTAGGCGTCCACCTCGAGACAGCATTGCGGGGCGCCATCATCGCCGACCGCTGGCCCAAGAGCGGTGTTGACATCATTGTCACAATCATAGAAGGTGACCAGGACCGCGACGCGAGTGACTACCAGAAGGAGGCGGACTGGGACATGATGAACGTGCTCAGCGGCTGTATCACAGTGGCATCGGCTGCCATTGCCGATGCAGGCATTGACTGTGTTGACACAGTTGCAGGCGGCGTGGCTGCAGTTGTGACAAAACAGGGAACAGATAAGCCTCTGGTTGTGCTTGACCCTACCTCCTCAGAGCATGACAAGGTCCATGCAGCGTGTTGCACCGCATATCTGCCATCAAGAGGAGAGGTGACCAATGTCTGGTTCAAGGGCACGTTGCCTGGTAATGGCCTAACGCTATATAACGAGCTCCTCGAGAAGAGCTTGGTGGCGTGTCAAAATGCCCATCATGTGGTTGTCAAAACCTTGCAAGACACCGCACAGCAACATCAGACAGCGTCAATATGAAAGGAAATTTTGGATGGGAGCATCCTTGGTTCTCGGGACATGGCAAGGGCTGTGCTGGATCGGCATGCCACATAAGGAAAGACGACTGCGAATTGGGTCGAATATGAGCTCGAGGTCGTCCGCGCACGTCTCTGCCCTTTTGCAGCAGGGGATCTTGTCGTTGAATGATCAGAAGCTCTTTCCTGAGGGAAGACAAAGCCGATCCGGACAAGCCGCAATAGCTGAACCATGTCTAAGTGCAGCCTGGAGACGCTTGGGAAAGCGGTGGTCCGTCAAGCATGTTCCATCAACGGACTGCATACTTCTCGGCTTATTGCTGACGCATGGCCATGTCCGCAGACGATTGCGCCACGGCCACCTGTTGGTGGTTGCGAGCGGATCGAGAAGGCAGCCAGGTTGTATTGAGCACTGGATGTCACGAGGGCTCTAGCTCCAGAGTTGCATCATACTGCCTCGGGCCAGCAGCTGATAGCGCCGATAAGACCGGGGAACGCGCTGTGACGCGGTC